CGTGGGCGTCAACGCCGGAGGTGGCCAAGTCGGCAGCAGTGCGGGAGGCACGTCGAGGCAGCGTGGTGTGATACACGCCGATGAAGTCGGCGGCGTTCAGGCGCGAGGGATGCGGTCGTCGGCGGCTGCAGGGTCCTCGCAGGGCGACGTCGGAGGACGACGAAGCGGATTGTCGCCGATGTCGGCGACCCAGGTGACGGCGGGCGGGATTGCACCGAGCTATGGCTACTTCAAGTTTACGCCGGACAGGATCTTGGTCACCCCGCCGCTCGTTGGTCGACAGGACATACTCACCTGGAAGGAAGCCATCGAGCCCCAGCTGGAGATGGCCGGGCTGATCAGCTTTGCTCGAGGTACCGTGGCGACGCCGGACGACCCCGACTTGCGTGCGGAGTTTCGCGCCGTGCAGCTGTTGACCTTCACGGTCATCTCGCGGTGCTGCTCGCCGGGCGTGCAGATCGCCTTGAAGTGGTGCCGAGAGTACCTCGACGCCGGCCACCAGGCGTGGCACTTCATCGAGTCGACCTACCAAGTCACCGACGACTTGTTCATCGCCCAGCTGGAGGGGCAGCTGACGCACCTGCGTATGGGCGACGAGGAGACGGCGACCGACTACTGCAACCGGGCCCGGCGAATTCTCGCCACCATCAGGATGGCCGGCGCGCAGTACTCGACGGCGTCGTACGTCACCCACGTCATGCAGGGACTCTCGAGCAGCTACAACCTTCTGAAGCGGCTGTCAATGGCGCCGAGCACGAGGACGACGCTCAACGAGGACAACTTGACCTCGTACATCCTGCAGGACGAGGCGATGCAGGAGGCAGAGCGGTCACAGGAGCTCTTGGCGCAGGCGAACTTCGTCGCCCCGGCGAAGCAAGGAGGTCGACCGGGGCAGCGCGGACAGTCTGGCGGCGGTGGTAGCAGTGGCTGGAAGCCGGCCAAGGAAGTCGACAAGAAGAAGTCGACCAAGGACAGCGGTCGAGGAGGAGGAAGTCGACGTCGGGAGTGCTGGCTGTGCGGCGACCCCGACCACCTCTCCTTCGAGTGCCCCGACCGCAGTGACTCGGACGACGACGACGACGCCAAGGGAGGCCGTGGGAGGTCTGGCAGTCGTCGTCCTCGTCGAGGAGGGAACAAGCCGCGCAAGGAGACGCGGTCGACCAAGTCGACCTCGGCGAAGGACGCCGACTCCTCTGCTGGCGGCAAGGCGCGGGACGACAAGACGGCGTCGTGCTCGCTGGTCGGCGTCGTGGAGCCGACCGTCTCGCTGGCGGCGGAGGCCAAGAAGGACTTCCAGGCGATGGCAGCAGCGGTGCAGGCGAACCCGGCGGTGGTCCTGCTCGACAGCGGCTGCTCCCATCACCTGATGGGGACGAAGGAGGTCTTCGTCGACCTGCAGCCGAGCGGCTCCATCAAGCACGTTCGCGGATTCAATGGGGCGCTGCAGGACGTCCAGGGTCGCGGCACCGTCGCCCTGCAAGGGGAGGCTGGGAAGCAGGTGCTCATCCCCGACGTACTGTACGTCCCGGGTGTGCGGGCAAACCTGCTGTCGTCCGGCCAGCTGAAGGAGCACAGCGTGAAGCTGCAGGAGGACGGCAACGGGATGTTGCTCGTCTCGGCAGCGGGGGAGGTGCTCGGTCGGGCGACGTACTCCGGGCGTGTCCTCTGCACCGACCTGCGTCCCTGCTCAACGAGGTCGACGTCGCCCACGCCGGAGGTTGTGGCCCTGCGGGCGATCGTCTCGAAGACGAAGTCGACGCCGGACAGGATGCATGCGAGGCTTGCGCACGTCGGCATGGACACCATCCGGAGCTCGGCGAAGCACGAGGTCGCCACTGGGCTGGACCTCAAGTCGACGTCTAGCACCGACTCACCGTGTGTCTCGTGTGTCGGCGGGAAGCTGGCGCGACACACCTTCCCCGACCAGGGCTCCGACGCCGACGACGTGCTGGCCGTCGTGCACATCGACTTGTGCGGGCCATTCCGGGTGGCTGCCAAGGATGGCAGCCTGTACTTCTTGCTGCTAAAGGACCGCAAGACCCGCTACGTGTGGGTGAGGCCGGTCGCCAAGAAGTCCGACGTGCTGCGGGAGTTCGAGCAGTGGCTGGTGATGGCGGAGCGACAGACCAAGAAGTCGGTGCTGATGCTACGTTCTGACCGGGGAGGGGAGTTCCTCGGAAAGGACTTCACCGCCCTCGTGGATGGCAAGGGGATCCTCCACAACCTCACCTGCCCCTACACTCCGCAGCAGAACGGCATGGCAGAGCGGGAGATGCGGACAGTGGTGGAGTCCGTGCGGACGATGCTTCTGTACATGGGTGTGCAGCACCACTGGTGGCACCTCGCTCTGCGGCAAGCCGTCTGGGTCCGCAACTGCCTTGAGAGGTCGACGCTGCCGCCGAGGACTACACCGTTCCAGCTGCTCACCAGGAAGAAGCCCGACTTGTCGCTGGCACGCGTGTGGGGCTGCATGGCGCAGTTCCTCGTCCCCGAGCAGCAGCGTGGTGGGAAGCTGAAGCCGAAGGCCAGGTGGGGCCTCCACCTCAGTGTGTCGACAGCGAGCAAGGGCTGGGAGCTCCTCGACATCGCTGACAACCGGGTGGTCACCACGTCGGACGTGGTGTTCTACGAGGATCTTTCGCTGGCCGAGTGGAAGTCGGAGCACGGGCCGGTGTCCGGACGGACGCCGACCACCCCGCCGACCGACACCTCGACGGCGACGCTGCCTCTCCTCCTCGAGGTCGGTGAGCTTGCTGGTGAGGACGTCGAGGTCGTCCGTCCTCCTTCCCCTCCTCCTACGACCTCTGCCCCTCCTCTCGTGGCCGACCTGCACGGGCTGACTCCTATGTCGGCCTCCGGTGCTGAGGGGAGTAGTGGGACGTCGCCGTCGGCGCCGGCCAAGGGCATCGCCGGTGGCCGACATGTTGAGCGGCAAGTCAACGTGGGAGTGCAGGTCGAGGAAGAGCAGGTCGAGCAGGTCGAGGAGGAGCAGCCGGCAGGGGAGCAGGCAGTGGTGACGTCGACCACGGAGCCGACTACAGGGGAGAGGTCGGCCAGAACGTCAACCGAGGTGCAGCAGGACGACGAGGGCAGCGAAGCCGGTGACGAAGGGGAGAAATCGACCGACAGCGACGTGGTGGAGGTTCAGCCCAAACCCCGGAAGTCTGGTCGACTTCGGAGGCCGCCCGACTTCTTCGTCCCTGCTGCCTTCACCACGGTGTACGACGTGGACGACGACTGCCTGGTGTATGACGACGCCGAGGAGGATGAGGAGTTTCCGGAGCTCGACCCCGACCTGCATGCCGACCCCGACCACCGTTGGGACATCTCGACGATGACGGTGAAGGAGGCGTTAGCGAGCTGGAAGGGCCCGGCGGTGAAGGCCGCCATGGAGGAGGAGATCCGCAGCCTCATCAACATGGGCACGTGGGAGCTGGTCGAACGCCCGCCGGGAGTGAACATCATGAAGAACCGGTGGGTGCTGACGACGAAGTACCACATCGACGACACCGTCGAGCGAGAGAAGGCGAGGCTGGTCGTGAAGGGCTTCACGCAGGTGTACGGCGCCGACTACGATGAGACGTTCGCGCCGGTGGGCAGCTACGTCACCCTGAGGATCTTCCTCAGCATCGTCGTTGTGCTCAACCTCAACCTGATGCAGCTCGACATGAAGAATGCCTTCCTGCAGAGCAAGCTCGACCGGGTGCTCTACATGTCCCAGCCGGACTACTTCAACGACGGAACCGGCCGGGTCTGCAAGCTGCTGAAGAGCCTGTACGGGCTGAAGCAGTCGCCGCTGCTGTGGTACTTGGCGCTCAACGATGTGCTGGTCGGCGCCGGGTGGAAGAAGAGCCAGGTTGACGAGGCTCTCTACTTCAAGGTCGGTGACGACGGAGTGGCTTGCTGGGTGCTGGTCTACGTCGACGACCTGCTCGCCGCCAACATCAGCGCCGTGATGCTGAAGGAGCTGAAGGAGCTGCTGGAAGCCACTTTCGAGCTGCGGGAGATCTCGCCGGTGCAGAAGTACCTCGGGCTGGAGATTGTGCGCGACAGGTCGGCAGGGAAGCTGTGGCTGCACCAGCAGGGCTACGCCGACAAGCTGCGTAGGCGCTTCATCGACGAGGAGCAGACTGGGCGCACGCCGAAGACGCCGGTCTCGGTCGACGCCTACGCCGAGCTCACCTTCGATGACGAGGAGGCTCAGGAGCGCCAGGAGGAGGAGTACCGGCAGAAGGTTGGCTCGCTGCAGTTCGCGGCGACGACGACGAGGCCGGACATCGCCTTTGCCTGCAGCAAGCTGGGGAGCGGTCTCACGGTGAGGAGCAACCAGCACTGGCGCGAGGTCGACCGCTGCCTTGCCTACCTCGCCAACACGCGTGACACCGCCCTAGAGTTTGGCGGTGGACTTGAGTCGCTGGAGCTAGTCGGCTACGTGGACGCCGACGACGCCGGTGACAAGCAGAGCCGGACGAGCACGGGCGGCTATGTGTTCGTCTTCGGAGGGGCCGCAGTCTCGTGGTCGAGCCACCGTATCAAGTGTGCGACGCTGTCGTCGACCGAGTCGGAGTACGTGGCGGCCGTCGAAGCCGGCAAGGAGGGACGCCGACTTCGCTTCCTCCTGGCAGAGTTCCGGCAGCTGGACGCTGGGAAGCCGACCGTCCTTCGGGTGGACAACAAGTCGGCTATCACAGTCGCTGAGGGCATGGGGTTGACGGGCAACCTCAAGCACATGGAGCGGCGACAGGCCTGGCTGCAGCACATGGTGAACGTCGCTCATCTCCCTGCCGCCCAACTTCGAGCACCTCCCGCAGCTGCGGTGCCTGGAGCTCTTCAACTGCGCCATCCCAAACCTGCCGGAGAGGTTCGGGCAGTTGCCGAAGCTGGAGGTTCTTAAAGTGGGACGCACGGGCTCTTTCACGAGAAACGACGCGGAGCCAGGGCAGCCCGTGTGGCCGCCTCCCACGCCGTTCTCAGTGACCCCTGAGGACGACTCTGCCTCAATGTACAGGCTGATGATGGACGAGCAGCCCTTACTGGACCAGCTGGATCAACCACTCTCAGGCCGCTGCCTGCTGGGTAGCTTGCCGCCGTCCCTCTCTTCCCTCACGTACCTGCAGCAGCTGGTGATTGACGGGTGTGACGTGCTGGACAGCCTGCCGGAGGGACTGGGCCGCCTGACAGTGCTCCAAGTCAAGAACTGCCCGCTGCTGCACCACTTCCCCTCCCTCGTGCCCGCACCTCCTTCCACCTCCAACGCCGCACCTGGGGAAAGTTGGGCCCATGCTACCCCTGCTGCCACTGCTGCCGCTGCGCCTGCTCCTCATTCTGCAACACGCCCCTCAGCGGGCCTTGCTTCTTGCTCCTCCCCACTCCCAGCGCTTCACAGCCTGGAGATTTCCAACTGCCTGAGTCTAACAAGCCTTCCATGCGGCCTCGATGCCCTGCCGAGGCTGGAGCGATTCACCCTGGATAAGTGCAGCAAGCTGGGCTTTACGGATCTCCTCACCGCGTTCCTCTCCGCGGCCTCACATACTGCGCCCATCGCCCTCCCCCCCTCCGTCACCAGCGTCTCACTGCTTGACGTCTTCCAAGAAGCGCGTTACCTGCCGGACTCCTTCCTCTCCCTCTCGCGCCTCACCCATCTCTACCTGAACCATATCATCTCTCTCCACGCGCTCTTCGCCCCTCGCCCGCATGGCGCCCAGGCCGCAACTGCCGTTGGAGAGCTGGACCCGGGCAGTGAAGGCGGCCAGGTTTACGGTTTTCCAGTCGATCCTCAACCCGGTCAGCCGGCCAGATTGGCGCTCCTCTCGTCTCTGCAGCACCTGGCTATTGTGAAATCGCGCCTGCCGTTGCTGCCGAGTAACCTCAGCGACCTCAAAAGCCTCAAAGTGCTCATTCTTGAGAGGTGCATTTGCATGTCCTCCCTCCCCTCCTCTCTACCTCACCTTTCCAACCTCGAAAAACTCGTTCTGAGCACCCTTCCTAGGCTGGCGCGCCTGCTCGAGAATCTCGGGCAGCTGAAGGCCCTGAAAGAGCTCACTGTGGAGGCGTGCGATGCTTTGGTGGGGCTGCCAGCGTCCATCGGCCTCCTCTCCTCCCTCGTCCTCCTCTCCGTCATTGAATGCGACAAGTTCTCCTCTCTCCCCGACTCCATCGGCTCTCTCCCCCGCCTCGCCTCCCTCAAACTCAACTGCTGCTTCCGCCTGCGCCGCCTGCCAGAGTCCATCTCTCGCCTTCCCGCCCTTGTGATCCTCTCACTGGAAGACTGTGAGGGGCTGCGGGCGCTACCGGAGGGGTTGGCTGGTGTGGGAACGTTGAGGGAGGTGATCATAGGAGGGTGTGGCAGGCTCAAGAGTTTGCCACAGTCGCTGCTGGATAGGCAGCATGTGATCGACCTGCAGGGCATTAACTGACGGGAGGAGGTGGTGATAGGCAAGGCGGGTAGAGTGGATATAGAAGGTTTGCTGAAGGAACACGGCTTGCTGAAGGCAGTGGGTTTTGGGGGGTATTTTAGGTTGCTTGCTAGTGTTGTTTAGGTTTCTTTACATGGTACATTGATTGGTGACGTATATCCCGAATGTTTGTACACTTGTGCTCCAACCCAACCAGTGGTTGGCAACCACCCTGGCAATTTTGGCATACGGTATCGAGCAGCAGTTGCAATGGATGAAGCTGCTGCCAGTGGCAGTTGGCAGCAACACTGGGAAAAGCTGAATTCTAGAATCTGGAAAATATTATTTCAAGAGGCATGCAGATGCAGGTGCTCAAGTCTTGGTCCCTTGGAGCTTTCTCAGTGTGTGCTGCAGTGATCCACCAAACAGCTCGTCCAACTCTCTTGTATGCCATAGTGTGTGTCGCTGTCGCTCACCACAACACATTTCTTCATATACGCTGCCCATTGCACTTGAATCAAATGTCTGCACAGAAAGAGTCAGGGGCATGAGTATGGCAGCAATGGGCCAAGGGCAGGGCGGGGATGAGATAAGCAACTGGTTGCGTTCTAGGAATGAGCTATGGGATGAGACGTGGTTGCAGAGATGCCTAGAGCGCACTGCCATCACTTCTGATTTGGCTCGACACCTCAGATTTCCCAACCAGTTTTACTTTTGAGAGTGCTGATAATCCCACTCCAGCCTTACTAGCTCTCCCCGTGCTGCAGGGGGATGGGAGATGGAGAAAGGGGGTTGGGGGAGAAGGTGGGGCAGGGAAAGGGAGGGTGGGGTTGGGGTTGCCACGCCTCTCTGCTGCCAGCATGAATTAACCACCAAGGGGTGAGGGAGGGGGTAGAATGGGGGAAACGAGGGAAGCGAGGGTGGGTTGAGGGTTGGAGTGGTGGGGGGTGGGGAGGAAAGGAAGGGGAGAGATGTGAGCAGGGAGAGGAGGGGGAGTGGGGGATGGAGAGGGAAGTGAGTGATAGGAGGTGGTATTGACGCAAGAGATCGCGAAAAAAGGGAAAGGTGTAATCTGCAGAAGCAAAAGCTATGGTTGTGCTGTGATGCTGGGATGGTAGAAGGTGAAGGTGGTGGTGGGAAGTCAGGGAGAATCTAGGATAGAGAGGAGGAACACATTGTTCATGCATGCGGTGAACTTTAGGTCAGAGCATGATGAGATGAAGGGCTTGGCATGGTGGGATCATATTACTAAATTGTGGAAAGCTGGATGAAAGGCAGGAAAAGAGGATAGGGAGGAGAAGCACAGGCGTTAGACGAGCTGAATGGGACGCGGGGAAACGTTGGGTATGAGGAAGCAAAAGTAGGGAAATAGGGAGAAAGGGAAGGAAAGGATGCGAGATGGGAGGGACACGGAAGGATGCTGGAGGGATGGCTGGAAGGGAGGGTTGGTGGGGGATGGTTCAGGGTAGTGTGGGGTGGGTAGCTTGCCTCACCTGTCTGTCATCATAATATCATATGCATCAGCCCACTTGCTGGCCTCACTGCTCCCACACCCCCCCCCAACCCCTTGCCCGCCCTCACTTTCCCCATCAACCTCTTCCCCTCCCTCTCCCCCATTGCCCCCGTCGCCCGTATCAGCTGCACCCCTTTGTGCCAGCCAGCAGTGGGTCATTGCCGCAAATTGCACATGCTACACCCTCGTTTCTCTCGTTTCTCTCGTTTCCCTCGTTCTCTCTCCTCTTCCCCTTGCTTCTGCTCCTCTGGTTCCTCTTCCTCCCTTCCTGCTTGATGTGCCACCCGCTTGTAAGCAATAACACCGGTGCCACCACATGCCTTGCTAGCAGCAACGCCATTGCCATCAATGCCATCGTCAGCAGCAGCAGCAGTAGCAGCCGAAGCAGCGGCAACAGGAGGAGGCGGAGGAGGAGGAAGAGCAGGAAGAGCAGCAGCAGCGTCATCATCACCGTCGGGTGAATCACTCATCAACACATGCCCTTCACGTGCCAGCTCATGCTCACCACATGCCACCTCATGCCCTGCATCAACTCGAACCCCAGTCGATTCCTTACATCTCCCGCTTTCTCCCTGCGCCTCGCCTGTCCCTTGCTGTCCTTCCTCCTCCCCCATCTCCTCCTCTCTACCGCATCCCATTGACACCCGCTCCGGCTCGCCATCCCTCAACCCCACCTCTTCCATACACCCATCCTCCTTCACTTCCTCCCCTCCCTGTCCTCCTCTCGCCTCCTCCATATCAACCGCATCCAACCAGTCCCAAAACCAGCTCCGAGAAACCTGTCCTCTCTGTCCTTCCCTCTTGTCTTCCCCACTCCCATCCGCCCACACCCGTGCCCCATTCCCTGGAAATCCCATCCGGCTCCTCTTCCTCACAGCTGTCACCTCCACCACACCCGCTTCCTCCCCCTCCTCCTCCTTCCCACCCTCCTCTAGCACTTCTTTTAAGCGCCTCTTTCTCTTCCCACCACCCCTGCTCTCCCTCACCCCCTTCCTCTCCCCCTCCTTCTCCTGTCCCACCACGGGCTCCTCGCATTGGGGTTCCCGTGCCACCAGATCTGCCAGCCCGGCTCGCAACAGCACAGTGCGGTGGATGGCGGCCCGAATGGGCATGGCCGAGTCGGGCGTCAGCCAGGGGAAGGATAGCTGGGGGGGAGAGGAGGGAAAGCGGGCAGAGGAGAGAGAAACAAAGAGAGTAGAGATGGGGCACAACGTGAAACAGCAGCCGTGGCAGAAGCGTGCGGTGGATGGCGGCCCGCATGGGCCTGGCTGAGTCGGGTGTCAGCCATGGGCAGGACAGCTGAGGGGGAGGGGAGGGAAGGGTGGCAGAGGAGAGAGAAAGAAAGAGAGTAAAGATACGTGAAACAGCAGCCGCAGCAGCATGGTGCGGCGGTTGGCGGCTCGCATGGGCTTGCCTGAGTCAGGAGCGCCTAAAGAGAAGCCACAATTAACCGCCACCAGCATGCCTGCACTCAGAGTCTGCATTGCCACATGCTTACCTGCTCGCCACACAGCTCCTCGCAGTATGGAAACAGCGCATCGGCAGCAAGCAGGAAGACGCAAGCGCACATGCAGGTGCACTCACCATTTGCTTGCACTGGTCGCAGGCAGCGGCACGGCAGACGGTGAGCGGCATGTGGGAGAGCAGCTCCTGTGCGTACAGCAGCAGAAACACCCCGCAGTCACTCAGATTCGCCTGCTGGGGGACCTGCGCATGTGATGAGGGATGGAAGGGAATTTTACAAAGAGGAGGGGCCAAACACACACAGATGGACGCCATGCAACAAAGAAAGCCCACACGGAGGCGAATACTCGAGCTGAGAGGCGAATACTCGAGCTGAGAGGCGAATACTCGAGCTGAGAGGCGAATACTCGAGCTGAGAGGCGAATACTCGAGCTGAGAGGCGAATACTCGAGCTGAGAGGCGAATACTCGAGCTGAGAGGCGAATACTCGAGCTGAGAGGCGAATACTCGAGCTGAGAGGCGAATACTCGAGCTGAGAGGCGAATACTCGAGCTGAGAGGCGAATACTCGAGCTGAGAGGCGAATACTCGAGCTGAGAGGCGAATACTCGAGCTGAGAGGCGAATACTCGAGCTGAGAGGCGAATACTCGAGCTGAGAGGCGAATACTCGAGCTGAGAGGCGAATACTCGAGCTGAGAGGCGAATACTCGAGCTGAGAGGCGAATACTCGAGCTGAGAGGCGAATACTCGAGCTGAGAGGCGAATACTCGAGCTGAGAGGCGAATACTCGAGCTGAGAGGCGAATACTCGAGCTGAGAGGCGAATACTCGAGCTGAGAGGCGAATACTCGAGCTGAGAGGCGAATACTCGAGCTGAGAGGCGAATACTCGAGCTGAGAGGCGAATACTCGAGCTGAGAGGCGAATACTCGAGCTGAGAGGCGAATACTCGAGCTGAGAGGCGAATACTCGAGCTGAGAGGCGAATACTCTGAAGGAATGATATGGAGAGTGTTATCACGGCGAGAGAGTTTCGGCTATGGGAATTGATGTTGCGCTAGCAACTCGGTAGCACTTCGGTAGAGTTAGTCTCAGAGGACTTAGTGAGAATTTGAGTAGCAATTGGACTTCACTAGAAATGTAATCTCTAGAATATATGAAACACACAAGCAAACACAACCAAATATAGGCAACGGGAGAGTTGCACAAAGTTGCGTGGCGCTGCGAGTAACCCAACCCACACGAACGTGCTGTACAGGTGGGTGAACGCGCCCCGCACATTTCCAACCCAACTCAGCAGCGGGGTCAATGCCGAGCACGCCCTCTCTTCCAGCACAGCTAGAAGTAGCGTGACTCACAGAGAAGCCTCCACAACTCCCAAGACTCGTGCCTACGACTTCCCTAGACTAACACCACCCCAGCAATGACTGTTTAGTGCTGCCGTAGTCATATCGCGTCACCACGCAACCATCGCAAGTCATAAGGTCGGTGTTGGGCTGCTCGTCTTGGTTGTTCATAGCTGACATGCCGAGTCAAACGGTCGTCGAGGGCCCTTGCTGTCGTAGGGCCCTCTAACACTCCCCTGCCATACTACAGCAAGGCCCTTTATAACCATAGGGCATGCATACACACATACACACCAAAACAAAGGGAAACACACACAAACGAAGCACTCTCAAAGTGCAAACACGCACCGCACCAGCCATGGATAGGCCATGGCACCATACCCACCATGGAGAGTCTAGGTCTCACTCCCCTCGCTCGACAGCCTCACCTGCCCCACAGCCTCGAAGCAACGACTGAAGGCGGGGAAATGCAAAGCCTTGGTAAGGTAGTCGGCAGGCTGCTCGCTCGTAGGGATGTACTGCAGCTGCAGCTTCCTGCGCTTGACCATGTGCTGCAGCCACATGTGACGACGCTCCATGTGCTTGAGGCTCCCCTTGAGCCCCATGCCACCTGCCACTGAAATGGCGGAGGAGTTGTCCACAAAGAGAGTAGTGGGAACCTCACTCCTCAGCAGTTGAAACTCTGCCAGCAGGAAGCGCAG